AAAAAATTTTTTTAATAAATTAAAAAATAATAAAAACAAATGTAAAGCTAAAGGCATTTGTTGATAAAAACTGTATACCTTAAATGTGCCATCAGGGAACATAAGTTCCTGTTGGGAAGTTTTAGATGGCCTGTTTTCTATTCTCATGGAATAGAAATTCTAAATTTCCCACCGTCCCACACTGAAGTCTTAAGTATTTAAATTCTTTGAAGAATGGACACCTATACTAACTCTTTAAGAAACAGACCTTAAGTTTTTATGTTCAGAGTACCTCAAAAGTTCTTTCTTTTAAAACCTCTTTGAGAACCCTTCAAAAACTGGCATGAAAAAATATCTGTGGTCTGGTACCTCTAAGCCACGTAGCTGGGTCTGCTGACTAATTTGATGGTTTAGTTGCTGCAATTCTAGTCGTAGCTGTTCCCGCTCAGCAGATGGAAGGGGTTTTCCATGACTGGCTACTTCTGACATGGACATTCTGTCCCTTGTATGGGAAAAGAAAGGGTGGAATAAATTTTAAATTTTATTAAAAATATATTATTGAACTAACGTAACATTTTGTGTCAACTATATTTCAATTGAAAAAAAATTAAAAGAGAGAAAACAAACAAACAAGCCCCCTAGGTTTGGTCTACTACTGTTCTGACATAAAAATCTGTTACTTCACTATGAAAAATATAAAAATTATTGACAGGGCGCCTGGGTGGCTCAGTCGGTTGAATGTCCGATTTTGGTTCAGGTCATCATCTTGCAGCTCATGAGTTTGAGCCCCGCATCAGGCTCTGTGCTGTCAGCACAGAGCATGCTTTGGATCCTCTCTCTCTGCTCCTCCCCTGGTCATGCTCTCTCTCAAAAATGAGCATTTAAAAATAAATAAATGAGTAAGTAAGTAAATAAAAATTACTGACAAGTAAAACAAATAAGAAAAGCTGAATAATTTTAAATGTTTGTAGAAGCAAAAAGAATGACTCATACCTCTCACTGAAGTGTCCCTGAGAAGGTATGTTTTGATGAGGTGAATATGGAGAACCTCCCCAGCCACTGTGGGTTCCATATGGACTATAATCTACAAGAGAATAATGTAGTGCGGTATGATGCAATTCAGAGGTTTGATTCTTTTAAAGTAGCCATAATCTAGAAGGCATAGGCATTTTGTGTACACGGCTCTCTGGAAAGATGTCTACCAATGTGACGAGAGGGTACTGATGTTTTTTTCCCCCACTGAATGATATCAGTGCTTGTAACTGTTTTCAATGTTTAAAAATGAAAATGTATTATTTTAATAATAGCAATGAAGCTAATAAACAACAACAACAATGGAAATCTTCACATACCAGACCTGCTCATCTGTACCCTTAGAATTCTCTAGTTATAATTACTTTCTGCAGGGATAATTCCATGGAAAAGTTTAAAAGACTAGTGTCTTGGAAGATTACGGACAGCACTGATCGTAGGGATCAGTGCTGAAAGTAGGGAGTCGGGATGGTGCTGAAAAGTCATGAATATGAAGCCCCTAAATCAGTTTAACTATGATTCTTACCTGAGATGTTCATCGGTTTTGTGGGAGCTCCCTGAGGTGCCATAGCCTGCATTGGACCAGCACCCTGATATATTGTTTTGGAGGTTCGAGAGATGGCACCAAACCGAGAAACGGTTGGTCGGTCTCCGAAAGGGATAAGGTCATCATCACTGGTTTCTGCTGCTCTTCTTTGAAGATCCAGTCGCTGGTCTCTCATTCCTTTACTCTCCACGTTCTGATAAAAAGTAAAATGAGAAATCCACCCCACACTTAGATCTCTAACATTACTTCTTCCAGATATGTGATAAGGTTAAAAAAAAAAAAAA